CATTGATTTCCCTTTACTGCGCTGATTCCTTATTTTAAGATCTCGCTAATATCCGAAACAGCACAAAAGACATTATAGAAGAAAAGTAACATGTCTTGATATAGATATTTAATTTTTAAGTAGAAAAAAGAGAGTCTAAAGATGCAAAGATATTTAGAACTCTAAAAAAGCTTAACGGGCTTGAAATTTGGATGTCATGTCATTTAACGTTAAGTGGTTGCTCCGTGAATCCTATGAACACACAGTAAGAATCTTTGTAAATTATCAAGGTATTTAAATAAAAAGACCTGATTTTTTACATACTAATAAACAAAAGATTAGAATTTAATCAGACATGCATCGATCACACTTCACAATTCACAATAATTTTTCCGTAAATCATTGGGTCCGCAAACTTTTTTAACAACCCTCGTATACTGTTCATTGCCTCAGGAATATGAGTCAAGTAACTGAGCTTCCTTAGGCCTAGGAATTCATCCAATCACTCCAGGTAGTTCTCTTTTACTTCATATATTGATTTTTAGTAATACATCTTGTGTAAAAAAGCTGGATTCTGTAAATTCTATAATTTATTTTCAATCGAAAATTTGTGGGATTAACAAGGCTGTATGGTTTGAAAGTTTAGAATGCTACAGGTGCTCTTGACCAACTTAGGGCTACTCTGTCCGAGAAGTTGAATAATATCCTTATGAGAAAGACAAATGCTCTGATGAATTTCAGGCAGAGGAGAATCAACCAATGGAAATCTTTATTTTCACTTGCGGGAAGAGGTTCCATCATATGAATTACAATAACTCATGCATTATCGGTCAAAATCACGTAAGATGTTATTAACAATACTGAAAAGTCTGTATGGTTATGATTTGCAAATAGCCCATCAAAGAATAATTTGAATAAATATTCCAGAATTTAACATTCAGATTAGGACTTTGTTGGTCAATGAAAATACATCAGCTTATTTTTGGTATGCATGGTGACAATGCACTTTGAGTGGTATTGCTGATTAATACAGGTACATAATGGATGTGTCTTTTACACATCAAGTTTTACAATGGGAAATGTTTATTGAAGGTTGTTTATTGAAGGTTGTCTGATTCTTCACCATCAGAAATCAAAATTTTTATTAGGTTTTTCATTTTACTCTTCCAAAATTAACCAGGAACATTTATTTGTCACGAGCAAGTGACAAATTAACTGCGAAATGAATGGTGCTATTTTAATTGTCAAATCTTAATTTTACCCTTAATTTCGCTGTAGCATATCAAAATTGATAATCTGATATTGTATTAATTAAATTTCAATTGTGGACGTACGTTGTTGCCTTTCTTAACCACTTTTCCTACGGAATTAGATTATCGAATTTGAACAACCCCCCTCCCCTCTTTTTAAAAACGATACAGTCTGTCTGTATCAATCAGAAAAAAAAAATCATTAGTTTTGGTCCTGCGTGCAGGTTTGACCAAAATGGTCTACAAAAAATCATGATATTCATGGTCTTTATGGCTCGTACATATATAAATGAATCTTCATTCTATATATAAAATTTTGGTAGCAAAGATTTAAGGTAGGACCAAATAGATAGGTCAAATTTTTCCTCAAATTCAATTTTTCTGAAACTTTGATATTTTATTCTTGGATACAGAATCTCTCTTTATAAATGATATGAAAGAAATTCAACCGCACATTTTTTGCCCACATAGTCTGAAATATGGCCTTTCAGACCCCTGTAAGAAGTTTGTGAAATCAGACATTCGACTTGAGAATGAGCCTTATTTTAGAATTTTTTAATTGATCTATTGCAAATTTGTGGAATACTTTCAATAAAGATAACCTTTTTGTTACTTTAAATCAGTAAGTCACATTGATACTGGAAAATTTGGGTAAAATATTAAGTAAAAAAGAACATACATTGTGTTAGAAACTGAAAATTCACATGTAAATATCCGACAGTTTAAGTTTTCTTAAGAGAAAATGTATAATTCAATTTATACAAAAAATTAAAAGAATGATTCAAATGGGTCCTAGAATAAAATGTGTAAAAATAAAGAAAATTAAACCGGTGGTTTCAGATTATTTTGGTGATTTAAAAAAAATTAAATGGCAAAAAACTAAAAGATTCAGTAGATGACGTCACAATATTTGACCTTTGACCTCTTGGTATGACCTTGACCTTTGTAGTACATAAAGAATAGAGACTTCGTATATACGTGTCCAAATATTACCCTCTACTATTTATGGAATAAAAGTTGCACTGCATTATATAACAGACTGTTACATGCTTGTTTATTGCACTTAGATAGCGTAAACACATTCCAAAATGTATAAGCTCCCAAATGACCAATATATAAATTTCTCTGATTTTTTCACAAAATATAACGCAAGTCTGCCAAAACTTATTATTTTTCTTTCAGGGATCATTCATTGTTGTCAGTATAGTAATATTACTCTTTTTTCCTCCAGTACTTTTTTAAGAAATGGGTTAAAATATAATCCATGGGTGTTTTGTCCTACCTTAAACAGATTTATTTTCTGAAAAATTATTATGTTTTGTTCTTAGACAGGGAATAATGTAAGTTCTTATAGCTTTTTTAAATACATAATTAATATAAATTTAAATAAAAAATAACCAAACAATTTTTATTCACAGCATCCTTGGGAGCTATCATGTATTTTAAGACACTGTATTGGAATGATTGCACAGGTTCAAGATACTGTAATGCGCTCAGGTAGAACATACGCGATATATTCACTATATATACAATGCACCATTGACCTTTCGTTCAAAATTTGACCTGAATTTGTAAGCATAAATTTTTTTAATGATAAATTAATTCGCCAATGAGTTTGAATAATTAACATCATTCTATACGCACATGTACATATTTACATAACAATTTCATCCTCATAAAAGTATATATTTAATTTTAATTTTCAACTCCATGAATCTTTAGCCCAGTCATCTCAATCAAAAAGTTTTATTAAAAATATCTGAGCATATGAAATGAAAGTGTTTATTTCAAATTATCAAAGAAAACAATGAGTCTTGAAGTAATACACACAAATGTTTATATAAATTTTTTATAACCATTTATTAGAAAGGAGAAAGACATTTCAATAGCATTATGATTATCTAAGTTAACTGTATTTTCAAGCCCTTTTCTATTAACGCATTCAAATTTTGACTTTTTAAAACTATTTTAAATATATTGAAAATTTTTCAACATAACTAGTATTACAACTGAAAGAATAACCTTGATAATATTCACAAACATTAAGTCATCATTAATATTCTAACAAATCTTGGGAATATTCACAGATACATGCATCATTATAAATCTAATAAGGAAATATTTTACATTACAATATTGAAAAACGATAAAATCCTTAAGGATATGTTGTGCTCAGGTCTCTCCATAAAAAATGAATTCAAAGATAAACAAGTGTAAGATTGCTTTTAATATAATTTACGAACTGGTTAAATACAAGCAAATTAATTTTCGCTGCTAAACAGTGCTGTACTTTTATTGCAAGCTAGATACATGTTCAGTTCACTTTGTTCGCCTTAACCAAAACATTGGGAAGTTTAAAACATATATACATTCAAAAACCTTTTCACAGGTGCAAAAACTACCGGTATTTATATACAATACAAAATATGGTACATATGTACACTATACATTGTTTGCCGACTTATATTATTACTTATATTATATTCCGTATATTAATTCCAAACTCCAATTTATTATGTCGTCCCGAACGAAGTCAGGGACGACATATTGCGATTATACGCATGTTTTTGTTGTTGTCTAGACGTTTTCTCGGAGATGGCTTGGACAATCTTCCTGAAACTTTCCTTAAAGGGGGATCACTGGTGGTAGATTTGCCATGTGGTCATTCAGGTTCAAAATGGCTACCGTTGCCACGGAAACCTGCAAAAAGCGACGAATTTTGTTCGCGAGTGTTCTCTCTGGTCCCCTGAACATTTTTCATGAACTTAACTGATTTATTGATAAGTATCTGTCATTGTGCGTGTTGCCTTTAAAAATTGCAAATTGTCAATAGTTTCCATGGAAATAGGGGAAACGTAAAAATTTTTAACTTTGATTCTAAATCAAAGTACTGAAAGTACTGATAGGAATTGATGGCTTTTCCAAGCTTAGCTAATGGGTATTGTTTAACTGACGAGAAAAAATGAAAGGTTTGTCCAGTTCGGTGCGACATAAGCTATTGCTTGCAATAGCAGATTTTCTATTATTATTTGGTTATTGTTTTTTGTTATTGCTAAAACGCAACAGAGAATTGAATCATTTACATAGCATTGACTGAAAAGATTATGAAATTCTTTAACAATTCATAAGGCCTGCATACGTAGTATCCTTTCGAAAAGCCCGCGCTTTTGTAAGTGATTCGCGAAGATATGCATTAAATATCGTGGATACATAAATTGCTCTATCGTTATTATACCCTGTTTAAATATGTGTCTTATTCGTCTTTCAATTTATTCTAAAAAAAATTGAAATATTTCCAAATACTGAGATGTTAAAAAATATTGTTTAAGTATCTCTCTAAATGTGATTACTTTTTTATTGGAAGCATCGATCTGATTTGACGCTGTTTGGTTTCTTATTTCCTTTTCTCTGTGGAGCTATTTACAATAAGAAAGGCGATCATAACGTCTTCAGCCAGGACTTTGCTTAGCCGGCTTAAAATTCAAAAACCTATGTCTGTCATACTAGATTATTTTTATGATATGTTAGCCCCACGGGGAACCGGGTTAGAATAGGTCCTCAGTACCCTCATGCTTCGCGTAAAAGGCGACTAAATGGGGCGGTCCTTCGGATGAGACCGTATAAACCAAGGCCCCGTGTCACAGCAGGTGTGGCACGATAAAGATCCCTCCCTGCTCAACGACCGTAAGTGCCGAGCATAGGCCTAAATTTAAAGCCCTTCACCGGCAATGGTGACGTCTCCATATCAGTGAAATATTCTAGAGAGGGACGTTAAACAGTATACAATCAATCATCATGATATATTATTTCTTCAGTGAGTTTCAGAATCTGCTTATTTTTCTTTTCAGCTGTCGAATACTAGGATAAAAGTCGACTGTAGTAGCTTTATTTGGCAATGCGAGAAGAAATGGTGACAGGTTTGTGTCCAAACAGCACCGCTCCTTTCAGGACTGCAAGCCCTGGTTCGGGGGGAATGATAACTGTCATATCAGGAAAAGATTTCTTGATCATGTTCTGTAGAATTGGTGACTCAGAAAAACCTCCCACCATTAAAATATTCTTGGTTCCTGAGATCTCTGGTTTCTTTAGTAGTTCTGTAACATGATCCACAATTTGATCCAATGCCACTTCAAAAAAGCTCATCATCACTTCGGTTGTTATTTTGCATTTGTCCGACACGAATGTTATTTTTTCTGAAAACTCGGTATCCTTTATTTTCTCCTTAACATGATACCCTGTTTCCTCTTCGAACATTTCCCTCAGAGAAATTGGAATTTTAAAAATGACCCTGACCCTTTTGTCATTAATGTCACGCTTCTTGTTTTCGAATTCTCTATATATGTCCACATAATCACCTGGATGTGAGCGGGCAAACTCAGCGATGACAGGGGCCCCAAACATTTTGATCAGCATCTGTTTGAAGGCCTCATCTACCTGATTCCCTCCCAACGCTCCTCCACTAGCTCTGTACAGCTCCTTTAGGCTGAGATCAGGTTGTACTTCATAAACGGTGATATCTACTCTTTCTCCTTTAAAATACAGAAGTGTTTTAAAAACTCCTAAATATATCTCTTAAAAATTTTGATAAGAAGTTTAAATACCCAATTTAATGCTAACGCCCCCAAAATCTACCTAATTCAAGATCAATAATATACCACCTGTCAATCATTATAAAATAGTAGCTTCTGATTTGATTGACAGGCCAGCTACCTGTGGTACCTGATAATCCGAGTTTGCATTTTTTTTAAAACAATTACCTTGGCCATGCTTCAAGCGCTTTCATGTACCGTCTAAAAGGAGCTTTGTATATATTGTGGTAAAAAGTAAAATCATATAGCTATTATGCTAGTGGGCAATTTTATTTTTAAAAATGATCTTGTCTTCATGAATTCTCCACTGCTGTTTGTTACTTGTAAGCGATATGGCGTCCAAGATATTAATACTGTAGAATTTTCGAAGAAAAACTAGTGGTTTTTCGAGCCCTCTCTTTCTTCAAAAAGTGAAAAAGTTTTTGTAGCAGCTAAGAATGATAATTTTCTCCGAATTCTCTCATTCAATCTGTGCATGGAATTTCAGAATGGCCGTAATGCCGCATGTTGACCTGCAGTTCGGTACATGTACACAAGAAATTAACATGATCAATTCAGCGTAATTGGAAGACCCCTCCAATAATTAAAGTTATAACGTAATACAGAAAAGAATAAAGGAAATATTTTTAATTAGCACTAACGGCATAAATTACGAGATTCCTTTTTTACATTTTTATACCCCCCGCAAACGAATCAATTTGTCCGTCCGGTCCGTCTAGCTGTCCGTCTGTTTTTACAAAAGTGTCCGGTCCATATCTTTCTTACGGAGGGACATTATAAGCTACTACTCCACACAAAGATTGCATATGACCTAAGGATGTGTCATGACCTAGACGCATGGTCATTTGGGAAGTTCAAGGTCACTGGAAGAAAAATTACATAATTCGTATCCGGTCCATATCTTTTTTATGGATAAACTTGGTAGGTTCTCATTTCATAAAAAGATTGCCTATGACCAAAGTGTGTGTAATGACCTTGACACATGGTCATTTGGGAAGTTCAAGGTCACTTGAAGAAAAATATCATAATTCGTGTCCGGTCCATATCCTTCTTAAGGATAAACTTGGTAGGTTCTCATTTCACACAAAGATTGCCCATGACCCAAGGGTGTGTCATGACCTTGACCCAAGGTCATTTGGGGAAGTTCAAGGTCACTGGAAGAAAAATTTCACTATTCATGTTTGATAAATATATATATATATATATATATATATATATATATATATATATATAGGTAAAATTAAAATAAAAAATGCAACACAGATTAAAACGTTAGCGCTTTCATTACATCTTCAGACGTTTTACAAATGCATACTTTATCCTGACTGCAATGTCTTACAAAACTATTAATACTTTAAAAATCATTATCTATAATTGAATCTGACAACAAGCAATTAAATGCTTGCAGTTTGTTCACACCTTTGAAACCAAATCCGACATGTGTTTATACTCTTAGCCGGAGAACATTGAAAGGTTACACTCTGTGTGAAAGTTTTGTCAGAAATCAAATTAAATCAAACTGTTAAGACTGGGATTAAATTTTTGAATGAAATATTTCTCTTTTTCTCTTCTTTCAGTTATATTGTCTTGAAAAAGTTTATAAAAAGGGAACACTTTAAATTTTCCTTGTCCGCATCTATCAATGTGTTCGCTGAGTTTGATCTTACGGTACTCAGGAACTTGAATATGCTGTTTATGCACGCGAATTCTGGCTCTCAATGTGGTCCCCGTTTCACCGATGTAGAATTGGTTGCATCCTCCGCAAGTAATAACATATATAAAATTTTTGGACTCACATGTCATGTCTGAATTAATAAAGAAATCTTTTCCTTTGAAATTAAATGACGTTCCTTCTCTTAAAACAGAACATGTGCCATATCGCGGATCTTTACACTTTGTCACGGATTTTGTAGATTTCGTTATTTTGGAAGGACAGAGTATTCTTCTGAGGTTTTTGGGCTGCCTTTTGCTGTTTATAAACTTGAATTTTGAAAGAACATTTGACATTTCTTCATCCGTTTTGAGAATTTCGTTCAGATTTTGAACGAGAGGTGAAATATTTTGGTTGTTAGGATTGTAAGTTGTGACTAGTGGTAATATTTTAATATTTTCCTCATCATTAGGAGTTGGATTAATTAATTCTTCTCTGTCTAATTCCTTTGCTTTTCTGATGCCGTCGTTGATTAAGCTTAAAGGATAATGTTGGTCTGTGAGATATACTTTCAATTCATCCAGACGTCTCAGCAATCTACTAGATATAGTGTTGAAACCTCTCTGCCAACACGTAAAAAGTTTTGTCCGTGACGATTTAGATTTTTTACGTCATCTACCTCAACTTGTCGATTTTAACACAAAACTTGTAACTTTAGATGTAGTAAATCTATACACCAATATAACCAGTACCTTAGGAATCAAGGCTTTAAATTTTTGGATTGAAAATTACAGAAATGAAATTGACATCGGTTTACAAAAGAATTTTTACTGGAAGCCACCGAATTAGTTTTAAAGAACAATGTGTTTACTTTCAATGAAAAATATTTTCATCAAGTGAAAGGTACAGCCATGGGTACCAAAATGGCCCCTACATATGCAACACTTACCCTTGGATACCTAGAAGAAGCACTATATGAAAAAGCTAATGAACAGTTTGATGCAGAATTTTGCGAATATCTCAAATTAGGGGCTCAGAGGGGCCAGAAGTCTTTCTCTTTAACTCTTTAATGATCAATATTTTGTGATACATTACAGAAGCAAAGTTGTTCATATTAACGATTTGTAACAATATATTATACTATTTTTTGTCATATGTTACGTAATTAGGGGTCACGAGGGGCCAGAATGCTAAATCTTTGACGCTTCATATCTCGAAAAGGGGGAAAATTTTGATAAGCAATATTGAACAAAAGATGGTCAGAATAATGAGCTAAACAATATGCATACTTTGAATTTTTGTAAAATGGCCCCATTGAGGACTTGTCGGGGTGGCCCCTAAATATTTATATTAATCATATCTTCTTAACGAAAAGAAATCTCTGAATAGTTGTAGAATAAAAAGTCTTTTAAATCACAAGACCTTTCGTTTGATATCAAGAAAAAGGGGCTGACTCCTCAAATTAGGGGCTCAGAGGGGCCAGAAGTATTTCATCTTTAACTCTTTAATGATCAATATTTTGTGATACATTACAGAAGCCAAGTTGTTCATATTAACGATTTGCAACAACATATTATACTATTTTGGTCATATTACGTAATTAGGGGTCACGAGGGGCCAGAATGCTAAATCTTTGACGCTTCATATCTCGAAAAGGGGGAAATTTTGATAAGCAATATTGAACAAAAGATGGTCAGAATAATGAGCTAAACAATATGCATACTTTGAATTTTTGTAAAATGGCCCCATTAAGGACTAGTCGGGGTGGCCCCTAAATATTTATATTAAGCATATCTTCTTAACGAAAAGAAATCTCTGAATAGTTGTACACTAAAAAGTCTTTGAAATTACAAGACCTTTCGTTTGATATCAAGAAAAAGGGGCTGACTCCTCAAATTAGGGGCTCAGAGGGGCCAGAAGTCTTTCATCTTAAACTCTTTAATGATCAATATTTTGTGATACATTACAGAAGCAAAGTTGTTCATATTAATGATTTGCATAAATATATTACACTATTTTGGTCATATTTTACGTAATAAGGGGTCACGAGGGGCCACAATGCTAAATCTTTAACGCTTCATATCTCGAAAAGGGGGAAAATTTTGATAAGCTATATTGAACAAAAGATGGTCAGAATAATGATCTAAACAATCTGCATACTTTGAATTTTTGTAAAATGGCCCCATTAAGGACTTGTCGGGGTGGCCCCTAAATATTTATATAAAGCACATCTCCTAATCGAAAAGAAATCTCTGAATAGTTGAAGAACAAAAAATCTTTGAGATCACAAGACCTTTCGTTTGATATCAAGTAAATGGGGCTGACCCCTCAAATTAGGGGCTCAAAGGGGCCAAAAGTCTTTTATCTATAACTCTCTTATGATCAATATTCTTTTATACATTACTGAAGCAAAAGTATTTATCTAAAAGATTTGCAAATATATATGATACAATTTTGATCATATATTACGTAATTATGAGTCAGAAGGGGCCAGAATGTTAAATCTTTGATGCTTTATATCTCGAAAAGGGGGAATATTTTGATAAGTAATATTGAACAAAAGATGGCAAGAATAATGTTCTAAGCAATATGCATACTTTGAATTTTTGTAAAACGGCCCCATTGAGGACTTGTAGGAGTGACCCTTAAATATTTTTATTTAGCATATCTCCACAACGAATAGAAATCTCTGAATAAGTTTTGAACAAAAAATCTTCAAAATCACAAGACCTTTCATTTGATATCAAGAAAAAAGGGCTGACTCCTTAAATTAGAGGGGTCAAAAGTATTTCATCTTCAACTCTTTCATGATCAATGTTTTTTTATAAGTATCCATTATGAGAAGCAAAGATATTCATCTTAATGATTTGCAACAATACATTGTAAAGTTTTGATCATATGTTACGTAATAAGTTGTTGCATGGGACCAAAATGCCATATCTTTGATGCTTTATATCTCGAAAAGAGGGAGTATTTTTATAAGCCATTTTGAACAAAACATGTTCAGAATATCGTGATAAAAATTAGAAACTTAAAAAGAAATGAAGGAAAACTTATTGTCATTCTCTTTTAACGAATATCTCAGTCAAAATCTCATCTCATCTTTTCGAGAAATTCAACGGAAGACCTACTCGTTGCTCGCAACGAGATCTCATCTAGTTAAGGTCTTCCGTCTTCAGCGGAAGACCTTACTGTTATTCTTAGGTTTCTTTTCCACTATTTTTATTAAGGTCTTCCGTCTTCAGCGGAAGACCTTCTTGTTATTCTTAGGTTTCTTTTCCACTATTTT